TCAATCAAATCCTTAGAAGGAAAGGCCTTTCATCTTATGACTTACCTGTCTTTCTATCCAGAAGACATGCTGGGGTCAAATTTTTTTGATTTAATATGAAATTACTAAAATTGATATTTCGAAATATATTTATAATAAATTTAATAGGCATTGTGTTCGCATAAAACGTTTATTTTGTTTCAACTCGTAACAACGAATTCATGCAAAGCAAATTGATTTTAAAATTCATACATTAATATTCATTATGAGTTTCTGCCATTAATTTGCCTACTTTGTTCTTTATTTTGAAATAAATTAGATTACTAAATGAAAGAACGATATTCCTGTCAATTATTTCAATTTCAGTGCAAAAATCCACGTGATTAGTTTTTTGTGGCGTATTGCTCTTACTCTTTGCGTGCTCTAGATACGTCTTGCATCAAGAGAACAGACTTTTATTTCTGGAATATTTACCGCTAGATAATAGGTTGCAATTAGTAACTCATAAACCATTTAAGTAAGACCGAACCGTGTACTATAGATGTTGTTTGTATTCCAGCATTATACTCGTAAATGACCTTTCTCGTTACAAAAAATCGGTCATATAATGACACAGAATATGACCTATTTGCCGTTTATGGCATAAATCATTGCGCCATCACACTCACAGCCAATCACAACGAACGAATCGTAGGATCGGTAGCTGTAAATCGAACTGCCATTCACCGTTTTTTCGCACAGATGTCAAATACCTGTTGACATTGCAGTAAAGTTGTGTCACAATAACAACACAATAAAGTTGTGTTCCAAATATTAACTTTCATTCTCTCATAAATTAATAATGGCGTTATACAAAAAATTAATGTATGCAACTCATTTATAATGTTGCTTTATTGCATTCGTACACATTTGAAAATTCGATTGTAAAGTCCCTCGTTTTCAAAACGTGTCGTAATTCAATAAAGCTAACATCATAAATTAGTTGCGTAATATTTCCTTCTCATTAATTAATGAAACCATTGCGCACTGGAGATGCCGGAAAGAATATTTACTTTAAAGGTTACCCAAAATAGCTTAAAACTACATATCAAAGGCAGATGTAATTGAATTTGAATTGTTTCCACTTTAATGTAAAATAAAGGGTAGCTTCCGAAATATTTTACCTAAAATACCGATACGATGTAGAATATGTTGAATGTGTGTTTCTGACATATTCGGTGTAAAGGATTTTGCATAGATACAGTGTTTTCGGGCGTAGTCGGTGTACTGACGTGCACATCTCTTGGGTCTTTTATTTTCTGGGTATAATCGTGTAGTTGTCGCGAGTATACAAAGGGAAGTACACCTTCGTACACCAGGAAGTCTTAGGTTCGATTTACTGACAGTGGCAGATTTTCTAAATTAATTGAGTAGCTAATTGAGATTTTTCCTTTCCCACGAGCTTACCGGGAGGCTGGCGTGTTAACTACGTATTTATAATTCGTGCTTTTTCTTTCAACTTAAATGTCAAATAAATTATTTTTATGTAATGTTTGATGACGTGTGTAAAAAATAGTTTCTGATAACTTCTTCAATGCTGCAGTCGTAGTGTGTTAGAGAAAAGTTGGCAACATGAATAACATACAAGGGTCCAAGAATAAATATTACTAACTTCCAGGGCGTGTAGAGAGGTCAAAGATGATCAACTTTTTCCTGTGAAGATGTATAAACTTTCATGCAACGAAATTATACATTTTACATTTTTCTCTGATTGTTAGGCAACTCTTCACTTACTGGTCACTCACTATGCGGCACGTCACATTTGACGCAGTCTAAGAGATTTCGTGCACCTGCCGAACACCACTGAACGAGATATTGCATATCTATCAGGGGCAACTGTCACACATGTTAGACTTCGTGTATTTGAGATTTCTCACAAAACTTGCTGCGGGAAAAGTTGATAATATTCGCTTTCCGTACATGCACTAGAACTTTGTAGCGTTGATTCTGACGGTTTTTGTATATGATTTTTCCCTCCATTATCGCTCAATTTGTTATACGGGTAAGATCGTTCCGATTTGTTTCGTTTTCTGAATCGATTCTTTTCCTTCGATTCCAGTGGAATCCTTTGGAAATAGGGACGTCTTAGCGTTGTGCACATCGAACCGTTACAGAAAACTACTGCACTGTTGATATTCTCTACATATGCGAAATTCGAGTTTCCAATCACTTTTGTTCAGCGACGCATGCGCAGAAGATCGTGAGTGCAGTCGACTGCCGTTCGCTAAGCCACGCGAGACATCCCTAATTGATTCTTTTCTTTGCGATGCGATTCCGCTTTCTTCGAATGTCCGCGCGTGTGGGTATTTCTTCGTAGTGGCGTAGCTTCAGTTGGTGTCACCCGGGGCAAAACTAATGGTATCACCCGCATCCATTAATTAAATATAAAAAGTCTATTACTAAATCGTTTTTACATTATTTAATAGAAATGCAAAGCTACTAAATCGTTTTTACATTATATAATAGAAATGTCAGGATATTTGCAAGTGAAATTTCATTATAATACATAAAAGGCTATTTAATTCAGAATAATTAAAATGTAATTTTAAATAAATAATTATATAATTCCGACTGTGAAGTTTTCTAATTGGTGCAATGATGTCATCAAGGGCGGACCGCCTGTTGCTTCGGCCGGGGCGTCGCCAGGACGTGCGCAACGTGCTTCGCCTTGCGCGTGCACAAGCGCCGGCGGGATGGGGAGGGGGGGGGCGAGGAAGAGGCAGGCGCTTTCCGGTTTTATCGCTGCGAGCTTATCGCGGCGCCCGAGGCGGCGGCGGCGGCGCTGGCCTCTGGGTCACTGGGTGCGCCGCGCTACTTTCGCACACAATAGCGCCAAGGTGCTGCGGGCGAGCGCCGCCCCGCGCAGCTGCGCGCCCCGCTTGCCGCCGCCCCGGGGCACCGGACTCCTGGCGCGCCCCCAATCGCTCCCGCGCTTCCTGCTGCACGCGCAATTGGAGCGAGCGCAAAGTCAGCCGGCCCGCGCGAGACCACGCGGATCCGCGCCTTCGTACGCGTAGGCCACAAACCCTGTAGTTGCCAATATGCCACATGAAACGGTGACGATTCAAAATCGCTTAAGGATCCACGGTCCAAGATATACCGATTGTTAGTTTAATTGTAAAAGATTGTAGGCGTAACATCAAAAGACCCGTGAACCTTACCTGTTCGGGTGACTAATGCTTTGAACAATTTACCGTACCTAGGTAAAAAAAAAATTTATGTTTAGAAACTACCAATAAATATCGTATTCGCTGGAATAGATATGAAAATGTATAAGCATTTGGAACTACTGCTTGATGGATTGACCCAGTCCGTAGAGAAGTGCGTACACTTCTAGAATTTCTTATACCTACTGTTAACTTCAAATTCTCGTCGACCAGTTGAAAAGTGTTATTCTTTTGTTCCTTGCCTGTTATTCTATCACGTATTCATTACCGTGGCGATTTTTGAACCGGAGAAAAAGTATTTAATGTGACTTCCGGAGCGTTAAAAAATTCATTTTGTCTTTTTTCTTAATTTTGCGTTCTGGTGACTATTTTAAACGCATAGAATAATTCTGCCTGTTCTTCATCTGCTCATTTATTTTTTATTCAAGCGGAAGGAAGAGAATTAATTTACTATAGTAATTTTGACAAAAAAATGCGCTAAATGACGTTTAACCATTTGTTACTTGGCCTCCACCTTCCAAATGATGATGCATTTTCGTTTAATAAATCACTCATGAAAAAACGTATGTCATTAACATCTCATAGGGCAACATATGTTAATATTTAACTGGATTGTGATTATGACAAAATATATTATGTAACGAATCTAAAGAGTTTATGTGTTTTCGAATCCCGCCAAAGAAATTGGCGTTTTTTCATGTGTTTATGGTCGGAAGGACAGTTCCAAACCACAAATAATTACATTTTGTTTCATAATCACATTCATCAATTTACCATTTATTTTAATCGAACTTCAAATTTTTACAATTGATTCTTTGCAATATGTATATGCTTTCTGGTTGTTTCTTTCGAAATCTTACCCATCTTATTACTGGAGAAATTCTCTCCATTCTTCGAATTGTAAAATATTCTGTTACGGCTTTCCATGTTGGATTCATTCGTATTTTTTTTGAATAGGAATTCTTTGATTGTCCATCCGAATTTATGCGTTGTCTTTTGCTATATGGATTTACTAAGTCAATGAGGCTCAGTGACTGTTGGTTTCGAGGGAAAATTCATTTAGTTTCATTGCAGACTGTTAGCAGGAAGCTTCTAAGTGCTGTTTACAAGCGCTGCTCAGTTATGTTGTTTGTCATTAAGGTGTTAGTTCCTTCAAACAACTAGAACAATTCTTACCGCCGCTCATCAGTGTAATCAGTTGCAATCTGCTTCCCAGGCAGCTTTCGGGCAGTTTTCCAAAGGAACTTTCTTTCCAACCAAGTACCTTGTAATCTTCGTACATGTGGAGAGGGGTAACAGGAAAGTCGCTGTTTGGTGTTAGGATAGTGATGTCTCAGAGGGTATACTTCGATTAAAACCTGAAGTCCGTTGACACTTGATCAGCTGTGACGCTGTCTTCCAATCGGGAGCTTGAACGTGACGTCACTATCGTGACGTTAAACCTCCCGATAGGATGATAGCGCCACAACTGATAAAGTATCAAAGGACTTAATATTTTAATCGAAGTATATACTTCGATTTAAACATAGGGTCTGTTGACGTAAATCAGCTGTTACCGTGTCATTCAATCGGGAGCGTGGATGACACCTACAATAGTGACGTTTGTGCTCCCGATTGGATGACACGTACCTGCTGATCAAGCGCCAATGGACTCTGTAAATAAATCGAAGTATAGTGCAGTGTAAACGGCGCCACATCAACACCTCGGTCCCCGCCACTGCCGCCGAGGGCCGCGCCAAAGCTCGTGACCGCCGCTCGCGACCGCTCGTGACCGCTGGCTCGTGCGCCCGCAGCGCAGAGGCAGAGGCAGAGGCCATGTCGACGGCCGCGGGGCTGAAGCTGGACCCGGCCGACCCGGCCGTGCGCCGCCTGGTGTACAACGCGTACCGAGGGCTGCTGTGCGGCTACAACGACAAGGCGAACGTGCTGCTGGCGGCGCTGCCCCCCGGCCGCGTGCGCGAGGACGAGGGCATCGCCGGGCGCCTGGAGAGCATGATGTGAGTAGCCCCCAGGCGAACGGGCCACGGGCCATTCCTCACCCCTTACATACACACTTGCACTAGCATGCACTGAAGTACCACACATGCAGGGTGATCTTGTACTCCGATTGGCTCCACAGTGGCACTTCAAAGGCACGAGCTGGACGGAGGGGGGGACATCATCCAATCGGGAGGGGAGTTACCACTTGAAGTTTTGGTATCGGAGCTCGCGATTGGACGACAATATGACCTTGAAGTGCCAATGTGTTTAAATCACAGTAATAGGCCTTGTCCCGGGTGGGTCGGTGCCCCGCTGGGGGAAATATCTGGAAGCAGTACATCCACCTCGAGCCGACGTGTAGATCGGCACCGGATCGCAACATTCAGCGGGGGACGAATACCGACACCTCCAAGCATAAAAGCATTTAGTACACATTCCGAATAATGGCCTTAGCAGTGAACACGCCCGGAATTACTAATCAATCAAACAACCCAACCAACCAACCAACCTGCGTTCTCTCTAACACCATCCTTCCTCCTGCGGTATTCACAGTTTTCTAGTCGTGTATGGCTCTCAGCATTTTACTTTTCAGTGTACACTCTGATATCTTTGCATCACTAAGAGTGATTATCGTGGTAATGGATATACTACAGTGGTAGTTAATGAACAATGTACTATCAGTACTTTATGGATGGATATGATGATCACAATACACCAATATCATGCACTAGTGTGTAAGTAATAGATAAAATGAAAAGACTTCAAATCTCTGAAGAAAGCAATAAAGGGGTCGAAATGTCGGCTTGAGTAGCACAACCAATTGAGAACAGTTTGAAGAATTATTAGTCATTTATAAATATCAAAAAAGAGAAAAGTCTAAAAGGAAGTCAATTTTTGAAATATTTAGTTTAGTGATGAAAGATTAAAGATTGATTTTATTGGATTGAATGATGAGGTAAAACCCTGGCATTTTCAGATTAGAAGTGAGTGCAAATTACTTCAGCAGCTCATCACATGTTTTTGCTAGTCAGTCACAACATTAAAAATTGTCGCGTGTCAAATTATATCCGCAAGCCAGTTTTCTCTAATATACGTAAGTGATTTCTAAATTCAATTTCGACATCATTGCAATCTGACAGCCTTGATTAATGGATCGGATAGCATTTAATTAAATGAGTAATAAAACGTCTCGATGGCCTTATTGCGAAACTGAATTTACTGCGTAAGAAGCGAGGTGGCCGGAGTCACGGAAAAAGCTCTGATAGTTCATAAACGAGGCACCGGCCTTGCATACGCTTGGTATTAAACGCAGAAGGCTGCAAAACGCTCGCGGTAAAGGACACAAGAATGGTGGCTCATGCCCTGAAGGTCAGTGGTTCGCGAAATAAAAACAATGAGCTGGGACCAGTCCACACGTCTCCTCCTGTAAACCCCGGCACCACACCGCCATTGCCTCCTCACGGTGCCGCGTTTTATTGGCGGCGACGTGTGGACCGGCTCCATTCCATTGTCATTATTTCGCGAACCAGGTGCCTTGATGTGACAATGCGAGTGCCACCAGGGACGTGACGCTGGGCGTGAAGGGCGCCCCCTTGCGGCCACTTACGCAACTCCTCGCGCCGCCTCCGTGCTGACGCAGCCGCCGCCTTCGGCGAAACCCGACCGCCTGCGCCGGAACCGCCGCGCCGCCCGTGGGATCCGACGCACGGTTCCCATCACACCTGCTTTTAGTGCCTTCCCTCGACCACTTGTACCGGTTTAGGGGCCTTAGGGCATCAACTGATGGCGATGCAGTGCCTCTGACAGCCAGGTCCTTTCATTCGACGGTGGCAGACATTTTGACACTATCTAGTACTTAACTATGTTCAATTCAGTCGCTTTCAGTGGGGAGGGAGAATTCTGGCTGTGACCGGCTGCTTTGATAGGTAGTTTTCCGTGGTTTCTCCGATCAATACGAGGCGAATACCGGAACAGGACTCAGAGAAACCGGGGCACGAGCTTCGCGCGATCGTTCCTTCCTCTTCCAGGATCTTTCCTTCCTTCCTGAACTAATAGTCTTAGCAGTTGAAGGGCCCAGAAACACTAATCAATGAATTAACCAATAAAAAAAGAAAGAAAATCAGCCGTGTCCTGGGCTTCCTCAAGGCGTTGCAAAGCTGTTTCTCGCTAGTGCTCGAACAGAACATCAGGGTTCAGGCCTGCAGTAAATTCAGTACGAATGATTGTCAGCAGCGTGATGGAACTGTGCCGGTTACACTTTCCTTGTAATTTCCAGTCACAAACTCTCGTGGGAAGCGCAGGATCAGATACACACAACATAGACAATGTTTAAAGTATCCGCAAATTAAAGTTGCCACTTGATTACAAAGAAGCAGAATGCTCCAAAGGAACATATTCAGGCATGACATTACGTGGGAATGTGGATATACGCGTAGGATGGAGATTGAAATCGGTACACGAAGCTGAAAAATTGACAACATTAAGACTATAACAGTGCTAGATGAAAGGATTTATGAATTTGCAGTAAGTATATAAAAACATTCGGTAAATGAATATTTTGCTAGCTAAACGGAGTTCCAATTCATCATTTAATTTTCTACTTAAAAGGGTCGTAACCACAAGATGGCACTTAAGTTATCACGTCCGAAGAGACAGCGACGTCTACAGCCTTCACTGTGGTAATTGGAGCGGCGGCAAGAACGCAGGCATTCGTCAACCCGATGACATATTGCGTCGAGCAAAAACATGATTTTTCTTCGTCATGAATTAGATTTATAACTCTTGATTATTTCACGAGGTAATGTAATAGTTCCATTCATTTTTTTACGAGGATCTTTATAGCATCAGAACTATTCTTCATAATTGCAGTGGATGTTTTCTTCTTTTTAATTATAGAAAACATCAATGATATTGTCTTCTCATAGTCTAAATATATTGTCTTCGAATGCAATGAGATTACATTTCATTGGTAAATAATAGAAAAAAGAAAATGTATGCATATGTCGGCACATTAGAGATAATTTTGGCAATTACGAGGCGTAAAACATGATTTTTTTAAAAATATTATGAACACATAAATATTAGTTAAAATGGACCAAAAATCTTTGATACTAGGGCGTTCAAAATAGTGCGGAGAAAAAGAAGAGATTGTAATTTTTCTATGGAGAGCATGGGATGTCGATAGTTCCAAACTCCGTTGTCCACACGATGTAGACACAATAAAGGCGTTAACAACATTATGAGGTGTGAAACATAAAAATGTATCCTTCACATTTCTGAGTTTATTTCTCAATGTTACGATACTTCATGACTTCAACAAAACAAAATGTCTCACTACGGAGATAGGCAGATTCACACGGGATTGTGTATACATGCCAAATTACGTCAGTCCGCTTTCTTTCGCGATGGAGTTTTATTAATAGTTAAAATAAATATCTCAAGAGTAATGTTTAGTATTCAATTTTTTTTATTTTGAAACTTTTATGTTCATTAATTTATACAAAATACTCATGTCTCAGAATATAAAGAAAGAATATTTTCCGTTGGAGCTAATAGGTGAACAAGCAGAAAGCTAATTTATAATAAAGTCGAGGCCACGTATTGTGCAGCGGCTGTTATCACTAACGAGGGCGGGGGCGGAGCAAGGGGCTGATAGTAGCCCTCGTTTCGTCAGAACGATTGTCAGGTGAAGCGTTCCCATGCCACTAATGTTTCCTCACGCGCTCATTTGCAATTTCATGTTGCAAAAGGTATGAGTCTCTTATCTTGACGTCCACTCAAAACTTACGTCACTTCGCTCAGGTCCCTAAACAGAAAAGACATGGGATATGTTTTCATATCCTACAGTGCACATATGTACGGTTTACAGCTGTAGTAATGGAAGAGAAATACGTGTAATATTTGAATTCTCTCGAATATTACATCCGTGTGTGATTAGGTAGAATGTCTGGACCACAACCGCATCTGCCAGTCAGCTGTCTTCAAGAATGGTATGGACAAAGAGTCGCAAGCGGTTCCTAGTCCTTGTTTGTTTTCTGGCATCCTCTTAGAATCGATGCGAGAATCGACCTATCTGAGCAGGCAGCCTTTAGAAATCCGCAACCAGGAAATGACTTCTTGGCTGGCGTGGAAAATTTTCACATTGCCAGGTCTCGAATCGAGGACTTAAACGTCAGGCCCCAACTCGCAAATAATTACGCTCACGCACTTAATAATCTGGTCATCCAGTCGATCGCGTCGAGACATCCCGGCCTTGGAGAAGCCAAGCCATTCGTAGTAGGGATGAGACATTGATGTCGATGTTTTCAATCAATTTTTTGATAAAGTAATCGATGTATTTAACAATGATTTTTTTTTGAAGTCGATATTTTTTGACATTGATATTGTGTATTCCATGTTTGTGCGTGGTTGATATTTTTAAAGGAAAAAAGTACCATCATATCAAATTTCTATAATAATTTTCATATGACCATATATTTTTCAGACCAAAGTGACCAATTTTCATGGATAAATAAAGTGTAAATTATTTTTGAATTATCAAATAAGATAACGTTTTGTCAGTTAATTCTCCTGATGATTTTTTGACATTTTTATGTCAGTTAAGTCTTAAATAGAGATGATTGAACGAGACCACATTCAAATTAAATGCTCTGCTTACGAACCCCGTTTTAAAAACATCAAAGTTTAATATAATGGACGATTGGGGGACGATGTTTTATTGACATCGTTGTTCTAATTTCGAGGATCGATGTTTCTAACCATCGATTATTCGTTGTTGTCGATGTCGCATTCCCAATATGGTTGCCGCGCGCGTGCTCGCGTGGAAGAGGCGGGGCGGGGTCGCCGGCCGGCGCAGCGCCCGCGCTCAAATGGGGCGGAAAGCGCTGGCGCCGGGGGCACGCCGGGTCGCCGGCCGGCA